GGGGGGGGCCGCCCCGACCCACCCCCTACAGGAAGTGAGTGTGCCCGGGGGGAAGGGGGATACCCGGCTGGCCGCTACAGGAAGTGAGTGTGCTGGGGAGGTGCGGTGGGGTACCAGGGCATGTGAGCCCGGAGGGGGTAGCCCCATGTCGGGGAGGGCTGGTTCTCACTGGCCAGGTGTCTCTGCCGCAGGGGCCATGAGGATAACTTAAACCTGGCGCAAGCTGTGCTGGCCAAGCTCAACGCATTCAAGGCCGACAACCCCAGCATGGCCGCTACAGGAAGTGAGTGTGCTGGGGAGGTGCGGTGGGGTACCAGGGCATGTGAGCCCGGAGGGGGTAGCCCCATGTCGGGGAGGGCTGGTTCTCACTGGCCAGGTGTCTCTGCCGCAGGGGCCATGAGGATAACTTAAACCTGGCGCAAGCTGTGCTGGCCAAGCTCAACGCATTCAAGGCCGACAACCCCAGCATGGGGGAGGTGAGCGAACTGGGCTGGGCGCAGGGCTGAGCTGGGGAATCGGAGCAGGGGGCAGCACATGAGGAATGGGGGGGGGGAGTGGGCTCCAGCCCCTCGGGGGGCCTGGCAGGGGCAGCTGGAGATCCTGACAGGTTGGCAGAACACAAGTGTGTTTGAAAAGCAGTATTCCTGGTGTGGTTGGAGTAATGCCCCCAACCCCATTCTGGTGCCGGCCATGGGCAGACCTCAGAGAGCTCCACAAAGGCCAGTGTCATATCCCTTCTGCATTGATGGGAAAACTGAGGCTCCAACTGGGGAAGTACACGCGTGGCATGCTGTCTGTTTGGGCACAGCGCTCAGCCAAGCTCCGCGCGCACAGCCTCTTCCACCTGAGGACACTCTTGTCTGTGGTCCTACGCCCATCCCCCTGGTATCAGAGCTTGTCTGATGAATTCACACACCCCCAGGGGAGGCAGGGTGGCCTGTTCCACATGGGTATATTGAGGCATGCAGGGAGCCTGTGTTCAAGCAGGAAGAGAACCCAGCTCTCCCGAGCCTCCTGTGAGTTATTACTCCCGAGTCCCCCCAAGGGTATGCCAAGCCTCCCTGTCGCAGACATAAGCACTATCCCCAGCTTACACTGGGGGAACTGAGGCACGGAGTGACATGATAGGAAGAGGAGCCAGTGGTCCGTACTGCCCAGTCCCCTTCAGTCGAATCCAGGCAGCAGGGCCAGGTGCGCTGTCTCAAGCCCCTGCTCCATACAGA